GAAGCAAAGGAGGGAGGGGGCCCTTAGTGGAGATTTCAAAGGAACGGATAAGAAACTGCGCGAATAGGTTCGCAAAGGGGAAAAATGGAAGAAATTTTCTGGTATCTTTATCAAGCTAGAGCGGAGATGAACACAAGTTTTCTATTTAACCGTTTTTTGCTCCTCTCGGGGCCCTAGGTCATTGGGAATCGCTGCTTGTTATTTCGACAGGACAAAGTGCCGCAGTCGCGGCTGCTGAAAGCCGGCAGTCGTGTTGAGACCCTTAATTTTTGCCTCTAAACTCTGTTTCTGACATTATGCCAAAAAGGATGCCGCCAAGCGGCTACCCGTTCTGGCAAAATGACAATGTGGTGGCTTCTGATGCTCCATCCCGTACCCTCTTGGACTTGTAGCCTAAACCTACAGGTGTCAGCCTACAGTACGTATTTTCAGAGATCGGTAAACCTCCCCTCGTTGTATTTTCGAAAGAAGTTGAGAAAGCATGGAAGGGTCTAGTCGATAAGCACAATCTCAATCAGCGTACTTTCAGTCAGCTGTCTAAGGTAAGTGTGACGTATCCTGTGTGATAGACGGATGAGCTGTCAAGTACACTGAGAAGTCGACCTCTGAGAGGCAGAGCAAGCAATAATTATACGTTGATCAACAGAAGCTATGTAGGTTGCGGGTGGTTGAACTGCTGTTGCTCTGTATCATTCAGGGAGATATTCCCACAAAGTGACTGATTAATACCCGTGTATCCGACTAATTGTAAGTGTGGGATAGCACAGAAAACTCGCAGTTACAAGACAACTCACCTGAGCAAAATGGGTGCTCAAAAAGACTATTGACTAAGGGCACTTTTCAGATTGCTTCGCTTGATCAAATCGACGAGAAGGAGAGTCCAAAAGATGGAGTCAAGAAGTCCTGTACTGGTTAGTGAATAGGTCGTTAGAGTCGACCATATCCTTTATGCTGCCTCTTTTTAAAAGTTGCTTCTAAACAGTGAGTCATTCATTGTATAGCAAACACTTTGAGAATTGATAATTTTGCTTCCGCCACGAGGTTGTTAGGTGGGAATCTTTATTCTGGCCGACGTTTCGACGGACTCGTCGTTTTCAAAGGCCTGAAAATGGCTCAAAGCTTTTGATTGCACACTACCCCCACCAAGCGCCTCCTCCGCTCTAGCATCAAGTACAACAGACATGCCGAGGTTTCAAGATGAGAGAACATGGAATTTAATGCAAGACTTTGAGAATTCCTTACTTACTGGCGGATAGATATTCTACTTACATCAGGACCGGTACTCAGAGCTTTTGTGAGAGACTGGCTGTCAGAGGCTTTCAGTGNCTTGATCAAATCGACGAGAAGGAGAGTCCAAAAGATGGAGTCAAGAAGTCCTGTACTGGTTAGTGAATAGGTCGTTAGAGTCGACCCATATCCTTCATGCTGCCTCTTTTTAAAAGTTGCTTCTAAACAGTGAGTCATTCATTGTATAGCAAACACTTTGAGAATTCCTTATTTACTGGCGGATAGATATTCTACTTACATCAGGACCGGTACTCAGAGCTTTTGTGAGAGACTGGCTGTCAGAGGCTTTCAGTGTCTTAGCGGTTTTTTCGTTGAACAGGGATGATTAGTTCGGAAAAGGGCTGTCCTCCAGACGTGGGTAAATGCTGTGTTCGGACTTTTTTGCAGAACATATAGGATGAAAAAACATTCAGTACTCGGCATTGGTTGAGCCCTACTTGGAGTGAGCCATGCATTTGGCTCCACATTCTGTCCCTGTGGCATCCGAGAACCAGTTAGCCTATAAAATGACCCGCGAGACCAGCAGATGTACCCAAATGAACCCAGGCGGCGCAGGAAGGAGCCTACTGCTAGCTGACCATTTCAGAGGAACAGATTCTGGACAGGCTTGGTCGAGCGTGAGTAGAGACCCGACTGCAGGGTGATACCTGGTATATGTGACTGCTGCAGAACTGCGGCAGAGGATTCGCAAATAATCTCCGAAGACAAGGATAGGAGCAGCTCTTGGGAGGATAAAGTGAAGACTGCGCGAACGGCAGTGGGCAGTCAGTCAACACATCTAGCGTTATCCTGCTATCAAAGAGCGTTCTCGAAAGCAAACAAATACTGATGGGATCAGTAGAGCTACGTGATCGAAAGTTGCCTACACAAAAAATATTTGCCTCCTTTCTTCTGGGACACAATGAGTTCTCTTTCATACTTTGATGAAGCGTCACGTTTAATTGAGGATTGCGCTCCATTTAATGGAAAATCCAGGTGATGATGGGNAAATAGGCATGATTACGAGCTCTCGTTGCGAACTGAAAACTAGGTGCATAGATGGAAGGGTCCGACAGCCACTGCCGATGGATATTTCCTTGAAAAGACGTGTTTAGCGACGTTGCAGACGCGACATTATTCGCAGTGGAGCACATTTGTTGCTAATGCTGCCTAGCTGATACGCGTTATTGGCTGGCACACGTTGCTACACAGTCTTCAGAACTTCTTCCAACCTTAGAGATTATCATTACACGACAGGTTTATACTTCGCGATTTTGCCAAATTCCTTGTTTTCTTGACGACCGACAAATTTCATCACATCAACGTTTTCGCTGCAGCTAGTGAATTAAGCCGGAGGACCACACCTTGACCCCCAGCACTCTCAAATCCTGATGGAGCCAAATTTGTATTGATCACATTGAAAAAGTATCCCCTAGATGACACTCCTCTACCTTTTTCTGTAAAAAGCCTATGGATTTATAATAATCAACTAATCTCAGGTGAAGAATCTACAATCGAATTGGCCGTACATTTAATTCGATCAGAACAGCACGTCTCTACTGCATGAAGGAACCTGTCCATCTACTTTGGACGTTTGCCATTTTTTTTACTAACTGTACCTACTTTATTCACATTTTTACCATGATCTTTCACCATTCCTTACCCCACTTCTATGAAAGCTAACCATTCTACGAATCTCACTCATTTGACTTGCCTACATGCATATTGTCGAAGTTTCGAAATTTCTCTGTATCGATATGCTATCTACATTTAATATTACTAATAAATGTTACTTATACGATCCAGTACCCATTAAATAACGCGAATGTTAGTATTGCTCTTTGGTTTTCGTTCTTCTCGGTTTTACCAGGTATAAAGGATAGCATGAATTGACTGGGATACGCCATGGGTTAGACTTCAAGTCAGGATTGCCGAGACATTCCAAGTGGATATTATGGCAAGGGATCGTCTCGACGTTTCAGAGCAGGGAAATGGTTAACCTAGAAGAAATTAGTTAACTTAAAGCACATGCATATATGCATGAGACAAACCCTACCCTTTTATTTACCTGATGTTTTCTTCTCCCTGAAAAGCTGACGTTTTTCCGGATTTTAATCTTGATTGATCCACAGTTCTGTACAAGACTGATATTTTCAACTAGTATGTGAATTAGTTCAGCCGTTTGGCATACATGCTACTCCGGCAAGGAAAACACTGAAAAAATCAGATTTAACAGGGGGTTCTTTCTCTCGAAACATAGTATTGACCCTGCTTGAACTAGAGAAGCTTTAAGAAATTCATGCGGGGAGTACTTTTTTTCGGTAATGGAGTTAATGGATTTCAAATGCTGTCGATCGTATGGGAGAGAAGAACTTTCGTTCCCGGACACTATGCATTTTTTAGAGAAATGATTTCCAAAAAACTCAGACCTCAAAATTGATCCAGAGACATTGATCCAAATTGAAGGCGTCTGCAAGAGCCACTTTCGATAGAGCGGCTTGATTTTGCAGTTTACATCACAACAATCGAAACAGATCGATTATCGAGTGGCGTGCGATTTCCTCTGGTAGAGGGGAGAAGTCTTGCCCAGAAGGCACCAACCTTTCAGAGTAAAAGTTTTACAGGAGAACTCAATTTTGCTCTTGTAATATTTCCCCCACTGGGTTGAGGAGCAGGCTGTTATCCAAAAGAGTCTGGGGAAAGATAAAGGTTATAGGGGGATATGCATGAAACAAAATCGAACTGCGTCGGGGTCGGGAAAGAGTAATACCGTTGACAAGCCAAGTGGCCACTCAGCATTCACCGCTCCTGTGACGTGATCTCTCTCATCCGTTTTACTCCCCCGCATCAACTCATTCAACAACTGTGTTTCCCACTCGACAGTTTTCCAAGTATTTGTTTACTTCCGTGAATGATCGACGATTCGTGGATGATATTCATTGTGTTGACTGACACACTGCCCACCTCCGCTCATTCAGATCTCACGCCGAGCCGACGATAAGCTGGTGCTCTAGACCGTTTCTTATACATAATCGTCCTTTCAAAAATGTGAAATCATTTTATGAAGTCTGTTTGTCCCTCAGTTGACTTGCTAGTTGCGTTTGTTTCCACACGTCTTTTTCATTTTGTTTTCTGGTGCGTGTTACTGTTATATTCTTTATAGGAGCGTCTCATAGGTGAGTTCTCTATAGGGCGAAGACTAGGGAGAGGGTAGCGCTGCTGGCTTAATTCAGAGAAATGAAACGCTGAATTCATACTGTCCACCCCCCTCCCTTCCCCCTTTACATATTTCGGATTGGTAAATGTAAGTGCTGGGTTTGGTCGTCTTACAATTCCCTCAAAAACATTGTCTAGTTTATGAAAGGGCTGTTCCAAGGTAAAGTACATACATATATGTCAAATAGCCATTATGGTTTCTAATGGAAACCAAATACTGTTCCATAGCCAAAAAGTCTTAGCACAGCCGTTTACGACTTTAAACTACTTGAACACCAAAAATAAAGAGTAACTTGTCAGAGCTGGCTGTAGGACTGCTCAGAACAGGGACAATCGTGCCAGAAAGATCCCCACGAAAATTGTTGGTAGTCTACAGTTTGTCGAAACAAAGAATATAGTCAAACTGGGATTGGGAAGGGGTGTTCAAGCCCTGAAAAAGGAAAAAGGGACATCGACGACCAGCATTTACCAATGGTTTACCTGATGTATAAAGGCTTTACACATCTGTACCTAATTTCATGAGCTTTTTTGACTATGGACATTCTGAAAGGTTCAAACATCTCCTTCTCCACCGATCTAATGACATGCATCTCGCCCTGCTCTTGAACTCTGCTCATGATTGAATTAAAAATTGTTTTGATCGTTTGACCGGTCCAATTTTACGCCGTGAACTTCATTCACCTCAGTTTCATGAAGAGCTGCAGCAGAAACTGTCCGTGTACTTGTATTTGCTCATTTTCTACATTTCCTTCAATTTTTCCTGCCATCAGAACATTTCAAAATGGTACTTTCACCAGCCTGATTTCTGGCTCACTTCCAGTTTTCGTTTTCCTTGACTGGAGCTAATCCTCCCCCGTTTTTCTGGTCTGGCCCTCAGGAGGGACGTCACGAGGGACCCAATCATTGCAACCAGTTCATGAACTTCCCGAAAACCAACTAAATGAAGTTTTCATAGCGAAGTTGTGTTATAGTCACACAAATGCCGTACTACACACTTACCCAGTCTTGAAGTCGTTTAGAGTCTCCTACTAGATCGCTCACTGCACCCATCAATGTAAAAAGACCCTCTTGTGGACGGACAGACGAACATACCGACAGACAGACAAGTGAGTAGTCCACATAATGAAAAGTAGTGAACTTCGTGCCTTCCCATTGCGAAACTCCTCAATAATTCTCTATGAATTCACTAGAATTGTCATATTTCAGTGTCTGACATTGGACAAGTTATGTTGAAATTTCGTGAACTCGAAAAAGACGAGAAAGCTGCTCGACAAGATGACGTATACTCGACCAGCTATGTACCGAAGAAGTACGCAAAACACTCGGCCGAGTATGGTACGCCAAAGCCTGGAACTTTGACCGAGATGAGGGCGAAAAAAGCCTGTTAGTGTATATTTAATATAGTAAACTTAATTTTATTTCAGAAACCTTCAAATTTTTGTTTCAGAACTAATTTTGGATGTAAAACGTAAAGGTTTCTGGCGATGATGGATTATTTGTAGAAATGCGCCTTGCACTCGACCTCTATATAGAAAAGTGCTGGGGATTGAAGTGCTCCGAACGATGAATTACGGGGTTTAGCCCATGTATGTACAAGTCATTACTCTGACCCCTTCTGATGAGTCTGGAACTGCTCGATCGATTCCGGAGGAATAACGGTGTGGTTGGGGCAAGTATCGATCAGGGATCGTGTGAATGACAGTGGTTCCTTTAACACTACACCACTTTCGCCCCCTAGTGATCTCACAGTTGACTCGAGTCGAAATGAGTATTTAATGTACGAATTGAATTTGAAATTAGAAAAATATGACGAAATTTTCAGCAGCACACATTGCGAAGGAAATGTTGTATTTGTGTGAAGTTATTCGAGATTACGGTTACCGATCAAAAGACGGGCAAATAAAAATCACATTTGGAAAGCTGTTTGCTATTTACCAGTACATATCGGACAAGGTCAGTCACTTTTTCAAAAAAGATTACATCCACTGAATAAATGAAAAATCCTCATCCGCCCTCCTGGTCTGATCGATGATGGGGAGATAGGGCTAGAGGGATATGTAAATTCAAGCCCGAGCAGGGTGTAGAGGCAGTTTCAAGGGTGATTGGAGTACGCTATTAGTGGCCCGGGTGCAGCTCCCATGGCTGATTACGGTCATTGCATTCGATTCCGCGAGACCATAACCAAAGTTTTGTACTGTGGTTGTACGAACTACACCCGTAAGTTCTGCTTCTCAGGTCAGGAAGTGCCGTTACAGGATCCCGGCCAAATCTTGAGCTTCTCTTCCTGATATAAAAGACTTTGTCAAGGAATTTCTCCATCGAAAGGACATTACTTTTGCCTCAGTAAATAGAATTTTTTATTTTTGGTTTTGGTTTCGGATTAGGTCAGCACCTCCTGTCCTTACCTTGAGGCCTTAGAAGAATTCAGAAAAGATAGCGAGCAGTCTCACATCCATTCGCTTTCCATCTGCATAGTGCACCTTGTGTGGTTACTATAGTACGGCCCCAAAAGCTTTTTCTTCTCTCACATTTGTGCACTGTATACATGGGCCAGGAAGTACCAAGGTGCCGGAAACTGGGTCACAGTGTGCGGCATTTTCCCATCGAGCGGCTGAGCATTTGGCGGTGCAATCCCTAGCGCCCTCGAAGTCATGCAACCATAAACCAACGACTGTTACCGCATACTGATCGAAAATTCATATCACAGTTTGATTTTCTCTTTCGAGAAATATTTTCAAGAGAAAAGACCTCTCAAAAATTCGTTCGTGCTGTAAAGGCGCTCAATTACTAGAAACCAGTTTGTCTCGGTCTACATTTCTTTTTTTTTTTTTTGCTTTCACAAACACATCTCGGCTAGCAATCATCATTTTATGAGTATTTCATCGATCAGATATTATGATCAATAGATCAAAGTCATCTTCCTCTTTCAGGTCGTTGGTATGTTGCTACGGGCCCGAAAGCATCATATGGTAGATTTTGAGGGCGAAATGCTTTTTCAAAGACGGGATGAAGATGTTGTTATTACATTGTTGTTGTCTGATGAAGAACTTGATCATGGAATCGAAGAAAGTAAAAAGTAAATAATTTGTTCAATCGCTGTGAAAACACAATGTGATTGTAAATGGGCAGGGCGCAAACGAAAGTAGCACCTACGCTGGCTATTTTTCCATGTTCTTCATATGCTGGTTGAAGACCTAGCAAATAGGGCTCCAGAAGGGCTCAAAATTGCACTGGCATCCCAGTTACCGTTTGATGTGGCGGATCAACACCGCTCAAGAGTCAAGAGGCGCCGCTGGGTCGCTGCGCGGTCATCCTGCGCCGCGCTGACAGGGTACCCTGTCAGCCTGTCAGCTGAGTCACAATAGACATTGTTTCGCGGCGGTTTGGTTAAATCGTTTGATGAAAAGAGCCCACTCAACATAAATTGGGTTGCCCTAGTTCATCGTCGAATTTGGATCAAATAAAAGTCATTACGAAAACCAAGTAAACTAGAACTTGGTCCAGACGTCAGTTATGCCCCATTTCCCATACAGTTGGTCCTGGAGACGCCAGTCACGATTTCGATCTAACTGATCCCCAAACTGGCCAACTCCTTTTCCTTCTTCTTACCCTTTCTCTCATTTGCTTCTAACGAGCTTTATTCCGTTTTCAACTTCGCTAGGAACAGGGGTTCGCTTAGATCCGGTCAGTCTGAAACTTCTGGTCCATAAATCCAACTTTCGTTTCAGTATTATGAGCTGAATCCGACGCCTTCAATCTTCAACGTTTCGGATTTTCCGGACCTTTCACATCTAATGACAAAGGAAAGAGCTGACCATGTAGTCACCTCCCCCCTCCTACGTTCTTCTCCTTCCGTCCTTTTACTGGTCTCTCTAGTTTGTCCTTGTCTGCGCGACGAAGGGCTTCCCTATCCGCCGGTCATCCTAGTGCTAACAAATTGAACGTTTGATTTTTCCTGTTCTTATTGAAAGTGGCATGGGTCATAAGGCATACCTGTGCTCGTGAGAATCCTTCTAGGATTGAAAGGCGCTGATTTTTCACATCGCCTGACTCTACAAATGCCTGTATGGAACAAATGCGTAAACAACTGCCAATGGTTTCAGTAGGTGACGAATGCGTGGCGCATCCTAGAATATTGCTGAACAGTGCTGAACGTTAACTTTCCTATACTCCTTCTATGAAATTATTACCAGTTAAGACGTGTTTATAGTCTGCGAAATGCCGGAAAAGCTGACCGTGCGGGAAATGGATACGTATCGATTTGTTGACTGCGCCGTCCCTGCATATTACAGGAGTTGGTTGAACGGAAGAATGTATGTTTTATGAACAGGACGGCGAATCATCTACTGCCATTTGAACTACATACTTTGGCAGCACTTTCGAAATTAGGATACTTCCATCGTTTTCTCACTCAAAACACGATTGCCTGAACTGTTTCTTGTCCTGGGCAGCGGTTACGTACATACTCTATCACGGACATCGCTGCTGTCATGTAGGTCGACATTATGGTCCATCAAGCTACATCAGTTTTAATTTGATATGACTTGTGACACGGAAATGTTTGTGTGAAGTTACAATAACAAATATAACGAAGAGAGCAAATCAAAACCAAACAAAACTAGTTTTGAATGATGGCAGAACAAACGATGAACAGCACCTTGTTGAATTGTAAAGAACTTGAACCTGAAATAAATTAGTTGAGTTATAAATATAAAAAGAGCAAACGGCATCAAATTGACAGACAGGTTTACAGACATGGGAACAAATTATTTTCCAAATTATTGCCAAGACAACTTATTGCTTTTGAACTTGATATTCGGAATCAACGTAGCATTCTCTACAAAAAAAAAATACATAAATTAAAATAGAATTTCACGCTTTTCTTGATCTCCACTTCCCCCGACCACATAAGGTATTACATTTGTTGATCTACACAGTCGATACTGTCGATCGCCCTTCTCCCCGGCTCTTTACTCTCTTCGTCTGCGCTCTCGCCATTGTCCATAGCGCCTGATTTTTTATCAGACAATTTTAATGAAGCAAACGGAAAGTTAAGCCCAGAGAAAGGAGGACCAAATAGGGAGAAGGTACCCACATTGGTCCTTTCCGGGTGGAAAAAACAAGAACCGTTGGCCCGATCCCTACCCTTCATTTCGGAAGGACCTGACGACCAATACGTAACGCTGTCCATATGAAAGTAACGTTTTTTGTACACCATTTACTCATCGTGAGTGTATGTTCGACGGTATGGTGGCATCCATTGGGAGCAGAAATCGAATTGTCGCTCCAAATTCAGTTCCGGTGCCACACATTTGAAAGAGTTGTTCGTCGAAGCACAAAAGTAAATTAGAAGAAGTCTGTATGGAACTTTGTTTGGCAAATTTAAGGCTTATTGTGCTTTTGTGGTGTTTCTTGGCATCATGTATATTATAGGGTGAATAAGGACTTTTTTAGTTGGTCGATGAAATGCTATGGTGAGCCATGCTTTCGATCTCCACATAGAATTGCAATCGATAGCATGATAACAGTTGACGGCGTATGGGAGCTTGCGTAAGAGCTTGTGGAAGAATACAAGTGAGCAACTTTGCATTACACCCTACCAAGTGGAAACATTATCAGTTAACTGGGAAGATGAAAAGCTCATCTAGCTATAAGTATTCGTCAGCGGCTGATCTGCAGACGTGAGGCCATCAAGCTAGTCATCTCATTCAAAGAAGGAAAGGTTTTTATATTGCTTATCTAGGCCGTGTAGGTGGTCTTCAAGATTCGGGAGTCGATTACCCTGCCTAAAGCGGCTTGGAGCGGCTAGGGTGTCGTGGCAAGCGGCGCACTATCACACCTACATGGTACAAGGGCCGAAACCCGACTCGACCAAGCCTTTAGTTACCTAGGCCAACGAAGCCTTCCATCCATTCGAAGTCGATGAATTGGTACAAGGTTCGTCTGGGAGTACGAAAACACTAACTTGCACATCTGCTGGCCACCCAGGTCACTGTCTGGGCCATACTCATTCTACGATTCCGAAATCGAATCCTAGGATGCATCCAGGAAACAGGATAAATCGGGAGTCGGGCAGTAGGAACGATTTTCTGTAATCGATTTGCCGCACGCGGCTGCAGCGGACCATTCCTCCGCCGTTATTACAGTTGTAGCGTTCCTCATACAGCTCAATCGATATACAATCCTTATTTCTGGCATGATTCTACTATTAGTTCCTTATTTCCTGAATTTCTTACTTGCTGCTGCTTTCTACTATATTCCTTCGCGCGCGGCGTCCCTCCTGAGGCGACAGTTTCGTTCATGCTGCACCACACCCAAGAGACTGAATAGAATGACCTAGACCTTTCCATGCACAAAATACGGCCAACCACAACATCTTCCCTCTAATCTCAAGCCAGCTTTGAGCCCCCGGAGAAGGTGTAGACGGTGGTTCGTATGCTGAACAAGCGAAACGGGTCACACTGTAATTCATTTGAATTACTTTCCCACTGTGTTACGCTTACCTACTAGTTTGACTTGATAAATTAGATTTATTTCACTTTTCCTTTGGATATGCCACCATACTTGATCAATTTCTGTTTTCTCTCTCTCTCACTCTGCCACCACTCCCTTTTATCTTTTTTCGATCATTGAGTGAGTGAATGGTGGAACCGCAGTCAGTTCCGCGTCAAGGACATTCTGACCATATAAATTTATTTCAAATATCGTCGTATGATGAGATACATTTGACGATTTGATGAGATACCATGACGAATGGTGCATGAATGATGAACGAAACGACAGTCTTGAAGTAGCATTTGCAAGTTACCTACCAGTTACGAAAATCCTACAAAAAACCGATCTTCTCCAGAGGGGTGATCGATGGAACTGCCTGAAAAAAAAAACCCCGATAAAGGTAATTGGAGTGAATGGACTGCTTTTGTTTTTATGTGGAGAATTCAAACCGTCCTTAGAGTCACCCACTGGTATCAGAAAAGAGTGCAGCTCCTAATCTCTCCTCAATCCACCTATCTCACCTTGTCGTTACTCACCGAATTACTCATTACCCAATCAGGCACAAACAACCATGCGTCCGCGCAAGTGCTACTTTTCTCCGTTATCACTTCCCCCGACGTAATGCTCCTGTCAGGGATCCTGAAATCTTTGACAGGCAACAGGGTGTGCGTAGGGGAAGATCGTACCTCTCTTTGGGAGAAGGAGGTTGTCCTTGATAAACAACTGAAAAGCTTCGTGGAAGCTGCTGATGATTATGATGTGAAAGCTGCTGCCTGCCCCTATACCCCTCGCCTTACTGTTCTCCTAGTCTAGGTCTTCTGTAATTGGTATTGATCTACAGGAAAGAGAGAGAAAGGATGAGGAACCGCCTTTTGAAGCTTTTAGGGAAACGTGGGGGAGTGAAGGGGAGTTGGTGTTACTCCAGAAACGATATCCTTTCATACTATGCATGACCCTGCTTTCCCGTTGTAAACACGAAAGGTGTTGCAGTGTTCGTCAGAACTCCTCGCTGAAAAAGTCCGATCGCCCAGCTAATAACCGTCCGGAATAGATTTCACACCTTTTTACCCCTTTTAATGTGTTTGATTTTCGCGAAAGTTGTTACAAGCCATAAGCCAAGCCATTACTGCCCGATCGTGAAGAGAATGGAAGGTCACCAAAGGTAATGTCAGCAAATGAATCATTGAAACAGAGCATTCAAAACAAGAAGCTGATGATGTCAAACTGGGAGCACATCATAACAATGTCAGACCACATGCTGTTTCGGTGATTCCCCTGCCCCGGAAGGTCGCTGGGAAATAGGCTGACTGGGTGAAGCATCTCCCACATTCGACATAATCACACTTCCCTTCCCGAACAGGATCTGTTTATCTCCTTGCGAGTCTTTCTTTCTGTTTTTGCGGAAAAACGCATAAATAACGAAAAAGTAGGTTGGAAAAGAATGTAAATATAGCAAATATGTTGTATATCATTGCATTTTCTTGCAGGAACGACCGGAAACTCCTTAGCAGCCCTGTAACTTCATAATCGTTTCGATTAACAGTCAGGCTGGGAAAATGGGGTGCCGGAACTTCCCCTCGAATTT